TAATTTGCTTGTTAAATATATAAAGGAGTCCAGTGTAGAAGAACTACTTTGACCTTTATAAAAACTGTTATTTGTATAGTAGTCTCTTCTACTTTTTCTAATAAGTTTTCCGTTTTTGTTGGTGTGAAATTTAGTACAAGTGATTGTTAGAGAGAGTTGTCCTATTTTCCATCCATTAACCTTTTTTTGTGTTATTAAAAAACTTTATATAATATTAATATATTATTAAATTTATTTACTATATAATAATGACAACTGCAATTATTGATTATATCATTTTTTAGCGAATGATAAAATTATTTTTTATATTTTCATAATTAGTTTTTTAAAAAAAAATAAAAATAAAAATAAAAAAGCATTTTGATTGTTAATAACAAATTATTTTTTCAAAATTTATCATAAGTTATTTTTTATAAGCAGTATAACAAGAAATGCTATTAATTATAGTATTAACTTTTTACTTCTTATCTTCTAATTACTAGTAAATTATATATGTATTAACAAAAATTAAAATAGTTTTTTATTGATCAGTGATCAGTCAATCAACCTCCAATATGAATGAAATTAACCATAATGTTGAAATAATTATATCAAATAATTCTATATTAGTTCCAGAATCCTCAGTTACTAAATTAACTGCTACAGTTGCTAATGCAATTATTGGTAAAATAACTTTATCAAAATACAAATCTACAATATAAAAAAATTTTACTATATTAGAAAATGAACTGAAAGCCAAATATAATTATTGTAAAAAGTTATTTAGTTACAAAAAAGAAAGTGAAACATTCTATTTTTATTAACATCTCAAATCTTATTTAAAATATCAAAAGTTTTGTTCTAAAGAAAACAAAACTTATCCAAGTTCTAATATTCAACTAATCAACTATCTATTAAAAACACAAATTAAAAAAATTTAACATATATAATAATTATTAATGAACTAAATTTCTAGTTTGTTGAAAAGTATAGTTTTTGCAAATTTGTTAATAAAATATTGTCTGGTTTTATAATCAGTGTTAATACAATAAAACAAGATATAATAAAGACTTATAATAAAAGAAAAGTTCTAATTAAAGTTATTCTTCAAAGTGCTGATGAAAAGATCTCTCTTATTTATAATATATAGACATTAACTTAACAACTTGGTTACATAGTAATTACTATCTATTTTTTTAACAAGAACTAAAGACTTATTTTTATTTTATTGTCATTCAAATTAATTTCTTATCCTTATATTGAAAAAGATATTGCAAATTGTATTAAAGTTAAAACAAATAATTATTTTATAACTAATAAAATAATATTAAATATTAATTTTAAAATTATTATACATAATAAAACTACTTGAAGTTATAATTTTGTTTAATATTCTTTTTAAAACTTATATAATATTTTAATTATAACTCTAATTGGTCTAATAAATATATTAATAAATAATAATATTTATAAAATATTTTTAGTTACAGACTATTATTTTTGACAATGCCACCTCAAATGATATTACAATTAAGGAATTAATAAATTATTTTTTACAAAATTCAATTAATATTCAAGTAGAAATTTTTTATAATCATTGTTTTATCCATATTCTTAATTTTATTATAAAGAATAATTTAAAAAAAATTTCTGAAGAAATCAAAATAGTATTTATATATACTTATAATATAAAAAAATTAATTTGTATTTAATCATTTTTATTTGTATAGATTTGTAGTTGTATCAAGGTGATACATATATTATTAAAGCAATGTCATATATTTGTTAATGCTTGTAAATATGAATCTGTTAGAATTATAATTCTATCACTAGATTGTAAAACATATTGGAATTTAATACTGTTAATGTTAAAATTAACAATAGAATTAAAAAATTATAATTATAAGAATGAAGAATAAAGATAAAAGTTTTCTAAATATACCTAATAATGAAGAATAGAAGAAGATAAAGGTTATTTGTAATATTTTAAAACCATTCTATGAATGTAAATATTAATAAACTAATTTTTAAGATTTAAATTTTATATTTAAAATAATTTGAAAATATAACTTTTATATTGAGTTTTTTAAATATAAATTTTAATAAATTTTCTAATCAATATATAAATAGGTATTTTAAAAATGTCTATAAATTTTTATCTGATGATTAACAATACAGTTTTCTTTATAATGAATATTCATATTCATTTTTTTAAAATAAATTCTTATTTGAACAAATTTATTTATGAAATTAGCTTATCAATAATTGAAAAATTTAAAAAATATTAGGAAAATAATAATTTATTACAAATAGTTTCATGTATTCTTGATTTCTGCTATAAGTTACAATTCATATCATTTTATTATTATAAAAAAGAACAAGAACTGAATTATATTGAAAAAAAGATACAAAATATTTGAACAAGATAAATTATTTCTAATTTATATTTTTATTATTAATTTATTAATTTGTATTTATAATCTTTTAATATTTAGCTTTGAAAAAATATTTTTTAATTATTATTATTCTTTATTAATTGTCAAGTAACATTTATTAAATATTGAAAGCATTACTTGTATAGAAGATGATATTTTATTACATGAAGACCAGATTGATGATTACTATAAATATATAATAATAAAAAAACAAAATAATCAGTTGGATATTTTTTGTAAAGTTAAGCATTATCTTGATGAACAAATTGCTAACAGAAATACTGATATTTTTGAATGATAAAAAAAAAATTTTTGTTTTCCAATTTTAACTAAAATGGCATATAATTTTCTTACTGTACCAGCCACAAGTGTAAAATCTGAACAAATATTTAGTTGTGTTGGTCATATTATTAATGATTATCATACATCTTTAGATCCAGAAACAGTAACTGCACTAATGTGCCAACAAAACTGACTAGATGTGCCAAAAAAATTTGAATAAGATTTATAAACTATTAAAAATATGAATTTGTAATTTTAACAACTTATAGTACATGTGCAATTTGTAATTGTAATGACTTATATATGCAATTTAACAATAAAACAATAAAACAATAAAACAATAAAACTAAAGCAATTAGTTGATTTTATATGTAATTAAATTGATCAATTCCCTATTTTGACATTTTTTTATTGCATAATTATAATGTTTTACATTTACAAATTATCATTTAATATTTAATTACACATTTATACAATATGAAAGTTTATATGAATAAGCTGCTCAAAGTGAATTATTAGGGTAACATTAATATTTTGGGCTCAGGCACGAGGGGGAGAAAAAAATTTAAACAAACACACATATATAAACAAAGAATATATAAAATAAGTAGCCCTTTTGGAACATAAGATATTTA